ATTGTGTTGCTGCGTTGTTGAAGTCGAGTGGTCTCCGATTGCGCGGCTGAGGCCCCACAGTTGACATACTCGCTGCATCCAACGGGATGGGCCACGGTTGGTAAACTCGCTGCATCCAACGGGATGGAACGTTCCACAGTTGGTATACTCACCGCATCTAACGGGATGGGACGTTTCACAGTTGGCACACATACTGCATCCAACGGGATGGGATATTCCACAGTTGGCACACTCACTGCATCCAACGGGATGGGATATTCCACAATTGGCACACTCACTGCATCCAACGGGATGGGATATTCCACAGTTGGCACACTCACTGCATCCAACGGGATGGGACATTCCACAGTTGTCGCACTAGCTGCATCCAACGGGATAGGATATTCCACAGCTGGCGCACCCGCTGCATCCAACGGGATGGGACGGTCCAAGGTTGGCAAACTCGCTTCATCCAACGGGATGGGACGTTCCGCGGTTGGCAAACTCGCTGCATCCAACGGGATGGGACGTTCCACAGTTGGCAAACTAGCTGCATCCAACGGGATGGATATTCCACAGTCGGCACGCTCGCTGCGTCACACGGGATGGAACGTGCCACAGTTGGCACACCCGCTGCATCCAACGGGATGGGACGTTCCACGGCTGGCAAACCAGCTGCATCCAACGGGATTGGATATTCCACAGTTGGCACACTCGCTGCATCCAACGGGATGGGACGTTCCACAGTTGGAACACTCGCTGCATCCAACGGGATGGGCATATCAGCACAGCAAACGTGGCTCTATTAGTAGTTTTTGTCTCGTTGTCCGACGCGCGCGGGATTTGCTCTGGTTTGCCCCGGGCGTCCAGCGGGACGACCTTAGGCCGGGCCGGCCACGGCTAGTTCATCACATGCGCGGCGCACATGAAGACGAGCATGACGTGGCCGCCACGCGGCAAACCTCACACTAACACGTCTCGTAACGACGCGACCACGCAAATATTGCTGGTGGTCTACACAACTATGAACTCATGCCAAAAAACCAAGAGCCCGAGCCTTTTCATGTTTACATTAAGTACAATATCTGGGGAATGTATTGCACATATACCAATATGACACTGAATGGCCAGACAAAAAGCATTAATGAAATCTGCGTGAAAGGATGACAAAAACCCCAAGCGCACCACACCCGCGCAAAACGCGACGCTCGCTACTGCGTCGAACCAGACTTCTACTACCTCCTGACATCACACGCGGCGCTGGGTACTGTGCCGGCCTGGACTGCTCCATCATACGCGGTGCTGGCTACTGTGCCGGTCTGAACTGCTCCTGACTCCATCATATGCGGTAATGGCTACTGGGCCGGTCTGGACTGCTCCATCATAAGCGGTGTTGGCTTCTGTGCCGGTCTGGGCTACACCTAACACCATCATACGCGGTAGCGGCTACTGTGCCGGTCTGGACTACTCTAACACCATTATACGCGGTAGCGGCTACTGTGCCGGTCTGGACTACCCCTAACACCATCATACGCGGTAGCGGCTACTGTGCCGGTCTGGACAGCTCCTGACTCCATCATACGCGGTAATGGTTACTGTGCCGGTCTGAACTGCTCCTGACTCCATCATACGCGGTAGCGGCTCCTGTGTCGGTCTGGACTGCTCCCGACTCCATCATACGCGGTAGCGGTTACTGTGTCGGTCTGGACTGCTCCCGACTCCATCATACGCGGTAGCGGTTACTGGGCCGGTCTGAACTGCTCCTGACTCCATCATACGCGGTAGCGGCTACTGGGCCGGTCTGAACTGCTCCTGACTCCATCAAACGCGGTAGCGGCTACTGTGCCGGTCTGAGCTGCTCTAACACCATTATACACTATTGCGGCTACTGGGCCGGTCTGATTGCTCTAACACCATTATACGCGGCGCTGGCTACTGGGCCGGTCTGACCTGCTCTAACACCATCAAACGCGCTAGTGGCTGCTGGGCCGGTCCGAGCTGCTCTAGCACCATCATACGCGGCAATGACTACTGGGTCGGTCTGAACTGCCCTAACACCATTATATGTGGTAATGGCTACTGTGCCAGTCTGGACTGTCCCTAACACCATAATACGCGGTGCTGGCTGCTGGGCCGGCCTGAACTGCCCCTAACACCACTATACGCGGCGCTAAAAACTATGCCGGTCTGGACTACTCCCAGCTCCACCATACACGGCCCTGGCTACTATGCCGGTCTGGACCGCTGACTCCACCATACACGGCCCTGGCTACTATGCCGGTCTGGACTGCTGACTCCGCCATACGCGGCCCTGGCTACTATGCCGGTCTGGACTGCTGACTCCACCATACGCCGCGCTACACCGGTCTGGACTGATCGTAACTCCGTATGCATACATGCGCAGGTATTAATCTGTATCTTCGCTAGATGGAGTCATTGCCACGGTCCGACCGGAGCCACACCATGGGCACATTCGTGGCACGAATGCGAGCACGAGCACAGACGGCCCGACGGCTATATGCTCAACACTGTTCTGGCACAGGCCATCAATAAACATCCAACATGGGTGCATCTATGGTTCACGGTGGGATTTGGAAGAGATCTGAGACGCAGGGTGGCCGCTTCCGAGCCGACGTCATTGATCCTGCACCCCCTCCCCCCCCCGCCATTCGACCGGAGACAGGCTGACCACATGGACCGGATCCTTGTAAGGCCTGACCGGAGCCCGACCCCCAGGGACCGGATGTTTCTGTGCCAGACCTGGTACCCACCCACTGCACCGGACTCGGCTCTATCGACCACAGCCAGCGCATATCACAAGCAAACCGCGTGGGTGGGCCGGCCTCCAGGGCCAGTCCGGATCCTGTACTGGAGCGAGCAAACATACACAGCGCCGGCTATGCCGTGTCTCGCGAGAAGCGTGACAGCCGACAGCGTCACAATGGGCAGCGTCATACCAGTGTCATGGTAGTCAGCGTCACATTGGGCAGTGTCACAGTGGCCAGCGTCACAGTGAGCAGCGTCACGGCAGCGTGACAGTGGCCTGCGTCACAGCAGCGTCAAAGTGGGCAGCGTCACAGTGGGCAGCGTCACAGTGGGCAGCGTCACAGTGGACAGCGTCACAGTGGGCAGCGTCACAGTGGGCAGCGTCACAGTGGGCAGCGTCACAGTGGACGGCGTCACAGCAGCGTCAGAGTGGGCACGGGGGGCGGGGGAGCATGGCCCGGTTGACGCCCTGAAACCAATCCTTGCACCGCACCCAAAGCCTACCAAGAAGACGGTGCAGAGGCAGGCACCACCAATGGGCAAACGAGAGCGGTTCTCGAACGCTAAGTGATCAAAGGGTTCTGCCCTTCTGCCGCCCTGTGGGGTCCGCTCAGAGCACTGGACAGGAGGACACTCCAGCCAGACCGTCCAAACAGCATATGCGACCAGTAATACCCGGCCCATCACCGAATTGGCATGCCTACTCTGACACGGATAAAGGGCACTTAATCTGTCAAGAGTACGCCAGAGTGGCCAGGATCCCTAAAGGTAAGAACACGGACAAGCAGATCAAACTTAAAGCACACTATGCACTACCTAGATGACACCGCTACAGCGGTGGCTCACACAGGCAGATGAACAGCCTTCTCCGCATCGCAGCCACAGCTGGCTCCTGACAAACTGGAAACAAGCATCGACCCAGGTCTCGATGGCCTGGCGGGAACCCTTCCCTCCAGCCACCCGGAGAATGACTGGCGCTGTCGTCATTCTCAAGAAAGATTAACCAGTTCCCGTAAATAAAGGTGGCTTGAGAAGTGTAGCGATCACGCGTGCGTGTGACATTTATGTGAGGAAGATAGCCCGTGGGCGGGTCACTTTGGCACACAAACAGAATGATTTTGAATGGATACTGATGGAGAGGCAAGGGCAAAGTCACGGAGGTGGACCACGTGCGCCATAGTTCCTTTTACCTAACATAACGGGGACTACGCACCTACGATTGCACCTCTATCAACAAAGCAGCGCAATGTCGTCATTCTCCGTCTGGACCCACCGCTAGCATTTGACATCACTCGCTGTGACTCATGATATATGTTCCTGCAACGAGCTATGCACAGTGACTGTAACACCGCCGCCCTCCACCCTCCTTAAGCATGGACCATAACACTGCAATCCCGTGTGGATGGACCATACCACTGTAACCCCATAGGTTGCTGATCTCGTCATAAAAACACATTAGCGCAACGTCCTACATCTCCTTTTCTTCCAATTCAGTGTTGGTTTCAACAGGTTTTATCCGTTGTCCATATCCAGCCTGGACGCAGCCTCACGTGCACTAAGGCTGTCTTGATCTGTGTTTGTGAATGCGTGTGTGTGCTCTGTCATCGATGTCTGTGACAGTGTGCTGACACTTAGCATCTCGACACAAAAGATGGCAATGGAGGCATTCGCCACTTCAGCTATATCAGCAGTCTGACTGCTTTTTGTCTTGCCTTGCCAGAATAAGACATTTAGTAGGTTAAAGCTGCCAAATCATCGTCCAATTCGTGACAGATTTCATGGCTCAATTCTGAGCTTACTGCAGCCCTCTCGGATTCCGTTTGCAAGAAAAAAGCCGTTCGTATTGTTGCCTTCTTTAAAATAAGCTTAACTCTCGCGAACTGCACCGCGTGTGTCACTGGGACCTTACGACGTCCTGAGCTGCTGAGGCTATACGTCGTCGCCTGCCTCTCACCCTGGCGGGAAGGACGGGCACCGCGAAGAGGGCTTCACTGCGAATATGGCCACTCAGCAAGGTACCATTCAATCTCCCGCACGCTACATTATAAGCATCACAACGTGTGGCATCCGACAAGGCATCTGAACCAGCAATTGCCTTGAATCCCAACCTTGCAATCCCATTCAAGACCTCGCTTCTTCGCCCCGCGCCGCGACCAGCTTCCATCGGTTCACTGCCTGCACGGATCGCGCGGTCCCCTCCAGAGCACGCGCAGGCGACGCCAGCCGGCCAGCCAGCCACACCTCGGAGGACCCACCTGCCGTAAGCGCGCTGCGACGGCGGCAGCGGCCGGCCGGCCAGGCCAGGAGCCAGGCGCGCCGCCGGCCGCCGGTACCGGCCCCCCTCGGTCGACACCACCGTCTCGGAGGAGGCTAGCGAGACCGAGGAGCCGGCCGCCACGTCCGCCTCGCTCAGCGTGGCCGGCGTGCTGATGGACGGCGTGGTGCAGCTGGTCAGCGTCAGGTCGTCGTCCGACAGTTCTGTGAGAGGCAGCACACGCGTCAGACCGTCGTCCAACAGCTCTGTAAGGGACAGCACACGCGTCAGATCGTCGACTCACAGCTCTTTAAGCACACATGTCAGACCGTCGTCCGACAGGTCTGTAAGGGACAGAACACGGATCAAACCGTCATCCCAAAGCTCTGTAAGGGACAGTACACGCATCAGATCGTCGTTCGGCAGCTCTTTAAGGGACAGCACACGTGTCAGATCGCCGTCCGACAACTCTGTAAGGGACAGTACACGTGTCAGATCGTCGTCCGACAGGTCTGTAAGGGACAGGACACGTGTCAGACCGTCGTCCCACAGCTCTGCAAGAGACAGCGCACGCATCAGATCGTCGACCGACAGCTCTTTAAGGGACAGCACAGATCGTCGTCCGACAGCTCTGTAAGGGACAGCACACGTGTCAGATCACCGTCCGACAACTATATAAGGGACAGACACGCGTCAGATCGTCTCCAACAGCTCTGTAAGGGACAGCACACGTATCAGATCGTCGTCCGACAGCTCTTTAAATGATAGTACACGCGTCAGACCGTCGTCCGACAGCTCTGTAAGGGACAGCACACGCGTCAGATAGTCGTCCGGTCGCTCTGTAAGGGACAGCACACGCATCAGATCGTCGTCCGACAGCGCTTTAAGGGACAGCACACGTGTCAGATCATCATCCGACAGGTCTTACAATCCAGATTTCCAAATGTATCCAGTTGGATGCCAAGGATGTCAATTTCAATTCGAGCTACCAAATTTCCATCTCCTCAGCCGCCTCCACCCGCCATGTTCCGTTGGCTACGAATACATTGGTTTTGAAACTCCGGGCTGACATTTTGACCTGTCCATCAGACTTGACAAGTCCGAGGCCTCTAGATACTTGGACTGACCGCCGATCGTAACACAGGTCCGCCAGACAACCAACACGTGTAGCGTAAGGTGATAAAGACTTGTTGGACTGAACGAAATGAGTAGAAGTTCCTTCGCAGTGTCATAATGGAGCTTTGGTTACGGTATCCGGCATTCAGAAACCTTCCGGTCAAGGACAACTATTTATTGGGAATTTTGCTTTCAAGTATCTTCCAAGAACATTTACTTGCATCACTGCTTAAAGATGACATTGAGACGGCATCAAATCCGGGGCCAGTTTACGATCAGCACCTCTCCCCACTGTTGGGTGTTCCTCGGTAGAAACATTCCACACGCGCTCCCACCTCCAGCACATTCTTTACCTCTCCACTGTCTCAGGCCTGCACAAAACAGACGCACCTTACGACCGGGCCCGTCCCAGTCCTGTGACCGTTGAGGTTGTCCGCCCCCCCCCCCCCCCGGCACCAGGCCGCGCCATGCCCGTGACGTCCACGCTTAAATATGCCAAAAAATCTGCTTGATCAAGCCTTTTTCATCATTTCGTGTTGGCTAGTTATCAGCGCGTACTACCCCTGCACGTTACTGCGCCCTTATAACAATATGGTGGGGCGGTCTGATTGACCAGATCTGATGGCCCGACCTGCGCGTGCTCTGACGGGCAGGTCATGCATAGCCCCAGCTGTTACTGCCCCCCTCATAACAATGTCACTGATCAATTTGATCACTCGACAAAACGAAATAAAATAAAACAAAACACAACAAAAATCCTATCTCAAGAAAGCAAAATAAACCAGGCGGAGCACGCACCAGTGTCGTCGGCGTCGAAGAACTCGTCCTCGGAGGTGACACAGTGCTGCTCGAGCAGCTGGGAGGGCGGCGCCTGCGACGACAGGCTGCGGTGCAGCGACTCCTCCAGCTGGTGGTGCTCCGTGGCCAGCACGTGCAGCGACTGCTCCAGCACGCGGCAGCGCTCGCGCTCCTGGCGCAGCTGCAGCTGGCGGACCTGCGCACCGGGCGGCCGCCCCGTCACGGCAGGGGCGACGCGCACCCGGGCGGGGTCACGCCGGCACACAGAGCAGTCGTGTGGCGCAGAGGCGGTGAGCAGGAGTGCGACACAGGGGGAACGCGACTGGGCGGTGGCACGGGACCGACGTGTCGCACGGCAGCTCAGGATGTGGGACAGAGACGTGGAACAGGGTCGTGACACAAGCGAAGAGCAGGAGCGTGGCACGGAAGCGCGAAGCAGGGGTGCTGCGGAGCGACGCAAAAAATACGCGTGATACTGAGAAACGGACGTGTCGCGCTGTGATGAAGACGAAGCGTGCTCCGTTACGATTCGTGATAGGCGCGTGCGTCAGTTGCATACTAGAGCGCGCTTGCCCTTTTCTATTCCCAGCGGCGCACAGCGACGGACGGGAGGAAGAAGTGACAGCCAGAAAACCAATAGTTCCATACCTCATGTCGACACGCACACCCCAGAAAGGACGGCCGCCACCAGAAGGACCCTGTGCACGGCCCGGTGCAGGCATGCACACACCCCGAAATACGCGACAGACTAAGACTGTCCCGTACAGCAACGCACGTGGGGTATTTTCCACTCACTGCGTTAACATTTTACTGGCTATAACGCTATACGCGGCATAGGAGGCCGGACCACTGCGGTGACAAAATACATGCTAGCCCGGCGATCTCTTGACATTCCCGTGCCGGTCCAAAGAGCCTCTGTGCACAGCGTAATCCCAGGCTCGGGCAGGCCATCCTACGCATCTTACGCAGCTTCATTCGGAGCAGTGGTGACGTCACAGAAAAACATGGACACGCACGGGACGCGCCACGAGCACAAACTACAAACCATCTGGTCATGCCGCGGCACAGGCCTCGCCGCCCGCGCGGGTCCCGGTCCCGCCTGTCCAGCGCAAGAGACGTGGCCGCTGGATTACCTCCTCCTGTTGCGTGAACAGGGCCAGACAGTGAGCGAGGCTTCCGACCATCTCCTTGGCACATTCACTGGTCTCCCGAAGCCTCTGTCAACAGATTGGAGAGAAACGGCTACAGGGACATAAAGTCACGGAGCTCAGGCCTCAACGCCAACCGAAAGGAATCGGAAACCTAGGTCAGCGTTTGGCTTCTTGAAATGATGTCTATGAGTTGTCAAGTACACTAATAGCTAAAACTGAGGGCTGCTCCACTAATTTAGAGGTGAAAGAACACCGCAACGTCGCAAGTTTCTCCGCTTCGACAAGGTAAGCATGCGGACGTGCTTACACAACTGCGGACACCGCTGACAATTCAGCCTACGTGAATGATCGCGATCGTGATCGTGATCGTGAACGTGACCGTGATCGATCGTGATCTATCGTGATGATCGAATGTTTTTTTCCTAAATACATCTGGACCGGTGTGGAGCAGTATCACAGCCACCAGCCCTGACGTGTATACAGTCCGAGGCTGCGACACACAGGATGCCTCCGCACTGCCGTCACCTCGCCTGACCTGACCTGACCTGACCCAACGGCGCTGGCGCTGCTCACCTCCACCACCGCCAGCGAGTGAGGCACCGCCTCCGCGCTGTGCAGAGAGCTCATCACGAACGTGATCTCCTGCAGATGCTCGCGCAGCAGCTGCTCCTGGGCCTTGGCACTCTGCATCGCGTCCTGCGCCGCCCGCCGCCGCGTCACACCCGGTGTGGCGCCAGCGCGGCGTGCACCTCATACACCCGCCACTTTGTGGCATTCGGAAACAATTTGGGGACTCCTGCGACTGCTGACTGCCAGGGGCAGGGTGATGCAAAGACATCGACGGAGAGACATTCCACACTTGTCTGTCAAGAGTTTAAAGGAACGGCATTCCCCATGACAACAATCGGCAGGAAACGATGCACCCCAGTGGTTACCTGCATTGAGCCGAGTGACTTCACTCCGTCCTCCTCCGGGTCCTCCAGTCCGAGGCCTTGGCGGATGTAGTGGCTGCTGAAGTCGATGTGCTCCTGCAGCGCGTTCACCCACTTCTGCAACACCAATCACCGCGGCTGACATCTCGAACGGGCCGGCGGCGACACAACAGCGGATTATTAAGGCGAGGACATCCCGCGCTGAGCAAACCCGTCTCTACATACACAGCAACACCAGCCTCGTCTCTGAGAGCTGGCCAGCCGTGCCCCCAGATCCACACATTTTGCGGACCGCGTTCAACTATTGCGTCAAACAGCACGTTTCCTGCAGCCTTGCGAAAGGTCAGTAGCGCACGGAGCCGTGTCGGGACCACAGCGAAGCCCGCCGCCGGCCCGGCGCGAGGGCGGCGAGCCCGGCCGGCCCGCACCTGCCGGCTGACGCGGTCGTCGCCGTCGTCGCAGCGCAACCGGTGCATGGTGCCGTCGCTGAACCGCACCACGAGCGTGGCACCCTCCGGGTCACCGTCCGACGCCACGCGCGCTCCGTCCAGGTACTTGAAGTCCTTGCGCTTGACGCCGGAGCTGGCGTCGCCGCGGGAGCTGAAGTAGGTCAGCACTCCTCGCTCGAGCACCGCCTGACGGAATGACGCTGGTCAGGAGCCGCGGTAGCGACTCCTCCCAGCTCACAGAGGACAGGAGGACAGGACTAGCGTCGACACCTCTCAGGGTTCAAATAGGACTTTGGCACGTATGTGGTGTCCGGTCTAGCATGGCACAACGGGCACACCAAGCCCAAAAGGAGAAGACGCCCTGACGTCTCACCCAGATGGAAACCAGCACTCGCGTCACATTACCCATAGACAGCGGGCAGTGGGGCGTCCCACAAAAAAACTTGAATAAGTACGGAAGCTCAGTGGCAGTCTAGTTCTCCGTTTCTTTCTTTAAGAGGATGCGACCCGCGTCGTCACGTCGCTTTCATGGGGCGCCGGCCACCGCACTAACCTCATTACTGTTCAAGGACGATGGCACAACCGAGATTCGAGCCCAGGTCGTCCACATGAGAGTCCGACGCACAACTATTCGGCCAATGCACATGACACATGGCGTGGCATACGACCGAGCCGGTGCCGCCCGGCCGCGCGGCTCGTGTCGCCCGCCGCCCGCCGTCTCACCCAGACGGGCTTCCAGCCGGTGAACCGGTGGCGGCGCACGAGCGGGCCCTCGCAGCGGACGGCCGAGCGCTGCAGCCGCCGCAGCGGCGTCACGCCCAGCACCTGGCGCATCTGGTCGTCCTGCGTCAGGTCCACCGCCAGCTGACCTGACCGCAGGCGGCACGGCCGGCACCGTCAGACACGGACGGTGCGGCGCCGGCCGGGGCCGGGCGTGAAAGGCGCGCCGGCCTGTGCGGCCCGGAGGTGGACGGGTTCGAACCTCGTCCCGTCGAATCTCGTCCGTTCGGTGCGTCAGGATTTCACAGGCACCATCGCGGAAAACGACAGCAGTAGTTCCGCCGCCGATGGATGTATCAGCTGCGTTCGTTAAAGGGTGATTCAGCCGCCTGTACCAAGTGTCTCACCGATGGGAGCAGTGTTACGACGGAAAAGGTGCAGGCACACGCACGCACGCGCACTGCAGCCTAGTATACACGAACAACGCATGTTATGCGCCACAGGTCGGTTAAGGATCTTGCGCGACACCGTCCAAAGCGCACGACCGCCCTAGGAGACATTTGCCGTGTGTTCACAGACCGAGCCCTGCTTCGCTTCCCAGCCACAAATGGTGCACCAACATCAGCCTGATTGAGGATGACACAATCGTCGTTTTGTGTTCGGCATGCCTCGGTGCCTATAACCGCTAGTTACCAATCTACGCCGAAACCGACGACGCCGAGCCACTCACCGCTGACATTACGGATGGTGGTGTCGATGCCGTTCTCCAGCAGGAGCACGGCCAGCGCCTTGTGGCCCCGGTACGCCGCCACGTGCAGGCACGTGTTGCCCTGATTGTCGGCACAGTTGATGTTCGGTGGATGCGGCTCCTTCAGCTGAAGCAGCAAACAACACCCCAGCGTGAGCGGAGGAGCGAGCTCCTTCCAAGGTGCTGAGTCCTAGAGACACTTCGTTGGACAAGTGGTTAGATGGCATGGGCGTGTTTTGCTCTAGAAATTGGAACAAATCAAAAGATCGTGTCGCACATGCAGTGCAGCTTGCTTCCGCTACATTTCATGATTACTCTCCGTTTGTTCGAGGTCCTCACCAGTAATCGACCGCGGCATTTATCTGCTTATTGTTCCGAAGTATGTATGCAGCCTAATGTTCTTAAACCATCTTTGCCAACTGACAACTTTACCAGGTGAAACTTGATTTAGGAATGGACTTAACATGCGCGCAAAATGCCAGCGCAACATTTCCTTGAGGCAATCAATTGGTTTGGTGATGTTTTTTCGTGGTTGGTTTATATTTACGTGAAGCATGGCGATAATTTTACTTTGTCTTAAACATGACGTGCATTTTCAAGACTCAATTTTCAAGCAGCTCAGTGCACCCATGCGCGTGATATACATATATGTACACATTCCATGCAAGGTTTTCCTCAGGGTTGTATTGTGTTGCCATCAATAGTTGGTCCTACGACAAACAGTCTGATCTTGCACCAGCATGTAAAAGTCATCTTAACAAGAACGGAATATTATGCAAACATAAACTCGTACAGAGTTGTCAAATTTGTCTGCTGTTCGAACCGCGGGTGCCATTTGTTTTTTTTTGGGGGGGGGAAGGGGTGAGCCACTGCCCCTCCACCAATGTCCAACCTCCCCCCCCCCCCCCAACGATGGGTTTGGCTCCTCAACCTTCTAAGGGCTTAGTGCAAGCAGAACATTACAAATGGTTGCTAAAAACTATCTCAACTTTATAAAGGGTCTAGTAATCATTTGACAGGCAGAAAGAACAAAGAAAAGGCGACTTGCGATATCATGTTAAGTTGCGTGCAACTAACTGAGCTAATCGGCCCACCAGACCGTTCACAACATACTTGGTCGTCGATCCTGACAAAGCGCGCCCCAGTTCCGCCTGCCCGTTTCACGGCCTGAGTGCCGCCAGCCGACGCCGCGACACAGCCGCTTACCATTTGGTCGACGACGTGAGTGTGCCCGTCGCTGGCGGCGCGCAGCAGGCGCTGCTGCTGCAGGCGGCGCTCGGTGCCGGCCGCCGCGCGCAGCAGGCTGCTGATGTAGGGGTCGGTGGAGACGGCCGCCGCCAGCCGGCCCTCGCCGTTCAGCACGCTGACCGAGGCGCCCCGCTTCAGCAGCAGCAACACCAGCTCCTGACAACCGCCGGCCGCTCAGTCGCCGGCCCAGCTCCGGGGCGGACCACGCGCAGCACCAGCTCACTGGCCGCTCAGGTACCGGCCCGGCTCCGAGGCGGACCACGCGCAGCACCGGCTCACCGGCCGATCAGGTACTGGCCCGGCTCCGAGGCGGACCACGCGCAGCACCAGCTCACAGCCAACAATGGACAGACCAACCCCACAGGAGCACGACTTGTTGGGAAATGAATTTTCACGGGAGCGAATAACGCAGGGATAGATGAACCGCTATCACACTGCAGTTGGAAGTTCGTCAGCAATGAATCATTGTAGTCTCTCTCAAACTGCATAGGCGCAAGTGCATAACAGCGGGACAACAGGGAACCTGCTTGTGAGAGTCAGAATTAGTTTCAAATGTCACCAAACATCGCTTAACACAACAGTTTTCGGAGAACTTGGCAAACAGTTACGTTTCACCAAAACTGAAACATGACGATAGCGTATCGCACGGTACCGCCGGCTCACCTCGTTGCCGATATAGGCGGCTTTGTGAAGCGGAGTGTCGCCACAGTGGTTTACTGCGTTGATGTCGGCGCCGTGCTCTAGAAGCAGCTCCACTACCTTCACATGCCCAAAGTAGGTGGCGAGATGCAGGGGAGTCTGGTCCAGGAACTGCTTGCTTTTGCCTGAAATGATGGACACGGCGTTGGGATACAGGTTGCCTCACATCGACATGTTTTTGACACGTTCAAAGGACAGTTTGCAAATTGTTAGGCCCAGGTGGCTGTACAAATTGTAAGGGCCTTACTTGTAGGGAGTTGCGAGGGTCAATTGTGAGGGCCTTTTACAGTATTTAGGTCATCACTCAATGTGCAAAGTCATTCCCCCTCAAAGGCACTAGAATCATGAGAGCTGTGCAAGCATTGCAATACCTCTAAACATATGATGGCTGAGATTATGATACCACTGCAGCCCATGAAATACATAAACCAGTAATGTAAATAGTCCCTAAAATTGATCTCAAATTATTCATTCTTGGTTGGTGGCATGACTTGTGATTGATGGCACCATAATTAATCTATACATTTTGTGAACGGCTGCCACGACCTGAAGGAGGAAATATGCATGGAGCTGGGTCAGCAGGAAAAGAGTCATTTGTGACGCATTTTGAACAAGCTGCTTAACTGGAGGTTAAAGAAAGAAAACTGACGATTCTAATGACTTGAACCAACCATTTGATCACGTCCCAATGAACTGTTATGTACTTTATACAGGACCAGCTCAATGGTGAATTATAACGCCACCATTCACATGTGTGTAAACAGGTGAAAATGGAATTTAACAATTCACTCATAACACACTGATATGTTGAGATAGAATTCTTTAAACAGCCAGATACAGTAGAAGAAGCAATAGATATCAACATAGCCTCTTAACGTGTACACAGGGTAATATAGGCACCATGTAGATCAACATGGACACTATGTACAGATAAACAGGGAGTAATTTGATTGCTATAATTCGAGATGATTTTGATCACCACGCGTCATAAGGCGTTCAGTCAACTGAGGATGGCGAATCTTTGAAAACTACCAGGAAGTAAACCTGTTGGTGACTGTCCAGAGATTGGTCCCGAATGAGTTTAAATGAACATCACCACAGGAACTGCCATATAAATTGTGTGAAAACACTAAGAGGGCACTGCACACAATCCGAGCAAAGGTCATTCTAGACGCCTCATAACGGTTTAAAACGATGGCATATAGATATACAGATGACGCTCCTTTACAGAAAAGTCCCAAGCGCTCGCTCGGCCGACACTACACAGCTCCTAGTCTTTTGCGCGGCTCCTTGTGCAGGATGGCACACCTGAGCCTAAGGTCATTACCTTATAACTTTAAGGGAATGCATGTCTGACAGAGATGTGCAGAAGAGGACGCAGATGTGTGGCTGGCCTGGGAAGAAAATGACTGGTCGCGATGACTTAATCGAAAATGCTTGGTCGTCAGATGAGGTCGTCAGGCAAGTTTTTCTACATGGACATGTCAGCAGGAAGTGTGGTGTTCTGGGGATCATAACTAGCAACAGAAGTGCATGCATGCGTGCGTGCGTGCGTGCGTACGTGCGTGCGTGCGTGCGTGCGTGCGTGCGTACGTGCGTGAGTGCGTGCGTGCGTGCGTGCGTGCGTCCTGAAAAATAACATCTATAGGAAAAAGGCAAGACACTTCAAAAACCAAAACACGAATATATATATATATATATATATATATGCATATATATATATATATATATATATATATATATATAACGTACCCTTGCAATTAAGTCCAGGAGGTAGCCAGGCTGACCTATCTCCAAAAGCTCCTGCACTTCTTCATTATTGCCTAGTCGGCATTCCCTCAAAAGTGTCTCTTCTGTCTCATCCATACTGATGCAATAATCGCCCTGCAATGAATGGTAAGACTTATAAGACAATTCGACGCAGTTACAGGCACAGCATACCCGATGGTCACTGGCATGCTCAGCTGTCAGAGATGCCTCGACGTGTGAGGAGACTACATCAATTAATATGAGCAGGAAACGCGCACGACGGCCGGAGAGTAAACTGGCCGAAACGTTGTGTACAAACCAACCCACCAGACAGGGACGATAGTCCGGTCGATTATTCCATTTGAGATGCTGATAACCCGTCTCAATCCTTCCCTAAATCTGTGGCAAGAAACGGTTAAATTTCCTAGTTTTGCGTGTTCTTTTTACCAACAAAAAGAATATCCGAATCTTTTGAATAGATGGATTTATGGGATCAAAGCTATCGCTAAGAAGCGCTTGTTACGTGACCTCGACCTCTACTATCTACCGATGCAATTATATGTCAACAGCAGAACTTGGAGGCGAAAGTTTACCTTGCCGCAATGCTCGACACGGTCCGTCCTGCCCTTTGACGCCACCTGACCTTCAACGTGATCGCTGCCACCGGCCACAGGCCATACCTCCTGTCAAGGGCAAATAGCGAGCGCCTAAAGCGACACGGACCCAAGCCACCATGGGTAGGTGGCTCGGAAGGCAGGTGCTCTAACCAGCTTAGCTACCAGACAGACGAAAGGATGGAAAGCTCATGTTGCAAATAACCAACCTTACCTATACAAGGTCAGAGGCACTGGCTACATGTGACTTGCAAGCACACATCGACTGTGTGAAAACTTCTTCCTTTGAGATGGGACATGAGTTCATAACTCCACCCTCCATCAATGCATCTCAGTCATTAAGTGACTGAGATGCATATTATGTTATGATGCATGATCATGTTAGTCAGAATTTGGCTCATTCTGACTAGCACATGGTATGTCCATAGAATTCAACAAATTGTGATCATGGGCACTGTCTCATGCTGTCAAATTTGTCATGGTACAGTACAGAGGTATATCAATGCTATATTAATAGCATAATTTAACCAACACTGTGATACATGAGTCTTTCACTTGGGAGATGAGTCATGAGCAAAATTTCAACTCAAAATGAGTTATGAGCAGTTCTTCAGCCAAAATTCAAGTAGCTCAAGATGGCTTCAGACTTCAAAATTTTTTCACAACCCAATGCACTCAAGACCTACTAAATCAATCGATGAGCCTGTTTTGTTTCTCTATGCCTAGAAATTAAATGTAAATGTGTATCAAGTATTCCAAGCCATTTTAACTCTGACTCTTTAGTCCTGAATCCCTAGAACAATGACATGAACTTCACTGGATTTCACAGTGTATGATATTCTCACAAAAACATGGTGGACATATGGGTTGCCCCAGAACCTCACTCAGAAGTTTGCTTGGCATGTCTGGTTTGCAGTGAGACATTAGAGAACTGTTAAGAGGTGTGACCATATCACAGTGCCTTATTGAAATGACACATTGGAAGCTTCTCCTCCATTTATGATAAAAGGATGCTGTATAACAAGACTTCAACTTCTAGAAAATCTTACTCAGAGTCA